ACATCGGATGAACAACGACATTTGGCTGTGACGTCGAAAGTAGAAGATCTGTATCAATTTATTCAATTTAAATAGATAAACGACGATGATAATAGACTAAAACTTTCTTTCAACCGATTCTCTCACAGACAAATAAGACTAGTTTTAAGTTAAACTTTTACAGCGATAAACTAAAAGTAGTGCTAGAATATGTGTGGATTAGGTCAAAAATATCTAACTATACTGAAGAAAAAATATGAATAGGAATATATTCGGTTCACTACTGATATAGTTAAGGATATCGACTGTTGTGATATTTAGTATTTTTCTACTTAGTGGACTCACGCAATATTTACACATATGCGTTTCTCTTTCGTTTTCTTATTCTTATCAGCAGTGAACCGAATATATTTTTATTCTTTTTTTTTTTTCAGTATAGGATAGTTGAAGGAGAGCAATGGATCTTTTTGAATATGTGAAACCAAAAAAAACACGCGCATATATAAAAGTAATACGAAAAACTTGAATAGGTTGAATGATAACTTATTCAGAATAATTGCACGTTTGAATTTTACTATAATCATCATCTCTTAATGTTTGATTTATTAATTTGTATAAAAAACATTCATATGTATAAAGCGATATGCATAATTTATATATTTCATCTTCACTCTTACCCTTCGCTGATCTTAATTGTTCCGCTAACCATTGAGCGTCTTTATACTCACCAGTTTTGTTGCCTTCAATTAATATACCTTCAGCTGTTTTTTCTAATTGTTCGCTGATATTGTCTTTTTTCCATTTATGAATAAATTCAGCAACTGTCCAATTCCAATCGTGGAATGCTTTGTTGCATAACTTTTCTGGTAGAAAAAACCTTTCTTTTCGTACACATTTAGCCTCCTTAGACATTTCTTTTGTTTATTTTTATCTAGTTTTGAAATTTTCTCTAAAGCAACAAAAAGCCCATAAATTAAGACTTATCTATTCTGATTAACATATTAATAATGGAATATTTTTCTTGTATTTTGACAGAATAAAGCTTATATCCCCGTGTCATCTAAAGTGAATGAGTGGCGAGGACAGATACGCAATTCGTTCTCCACTTTTTTATATTGGCAAAACCAAAGTTTTCTTTTCGTTAGTAAGCGAGACCCGACGGAGAAAAGAAAATTTAAGAAGCAAAATTTTGTTTTTTCCTATTCATAGACCCACAATATGATGTTCATGTAAACATATTTAGGTAGTACAACAATGGTCAAAGTTGAGTGATTGCCATGAACAACATCATCAGCGTGAATGAAGATGGGTTCTACGTATATATGTTTTACCGAAGTTAACCCAAGCCCACTTTCTTATCGCATGTCACGACGCGAGTCTCTTTAAAAATTCGCAGCAGGATCGCGTAGCGCGTTCGCTGTAAGATTCGCAAAATAAGATGAGGTTTTTAGCGATGGCGATTTTTTCGCGCTCATACAAGAATCTATGACTCTCAAGTATTTTCCTGTAGTTACTGTTTATTCGCGTTTTCCGTCTAATATCAGTACATGAGCCACGCTACTTTCACCCCGGCGAATGGCGTACGCGCGACGCGACTACGCAAGACTATATTAGTCATGTCGTAAGCTATTATTAAGATGTGATAAGACTTTGAAAATTTTTCGAAAAATCAGTGAGAGTTATGTATATCACGCGCATAAACAAAACGGAGGATAGGATTTGCACGGGGGGCGCGCCGCCATGCTGTATATCGTGATTGTAACAGAAAAATGTGATCGCAACATGAATCAATCCAGAGAGCGGTCTTGGGAATACCTCGGCAAAGAGTTTCATCGAACTTCAACTAAACAAAATTATTTTGTCGGCGTAATTATTTTAAATACTTATCAAATCTTACATAAATTTTCTTATTTAGCCCAGATTAGATCACAGAAAAAGTAAAACTGATCATCTTACCAAATCTAGATTTTACATCAAAGATGTCTTGTTGTGTTGTCCTCAAATTGGATTTTATGTAAAACAAATAACTTTCTACACTTTGGGTTATAGGAGAAAGACTCAATTTTTCAAATGCTTTTCAACTGCACAAAAAACATCTGCTAGAGACGGGATCGAACCGATCGCGATGCTCATTATTGTGAATTGGATCTTAAGTCCAACGCCTTAACCACTCAGCCATCCTGGCTGTATCCAACTATGTGCATAGTCTGTATACATCTTGATACGCAGTTGTTGTTTTGCTATATCTCAAGTGCTGTTGCAAAACGAGATGAAGCTGAAATCAATTTACAAAGTCCTGCATTTGACAGAACAGATGACAACAACACTTGAGATATACCAAAACAACAACTGCGTACTGAGATGCATACAGACTATGCACATAGTTGGATACAGCCAGGATGGCTGAGTGGTTAAGGCGTTGGACTTAAGATCCAATTCAC